TCTGCTCTGGGAACGTTGGACCAGACCCTGCTGGCCTTCCATGGAGGAACATTGGACCAGACCCTTTTCTAACTGTGAGGTTTCATTTTGCCAACTTGTGCTGATCTTCCCGTTGGTGGACAACCTGCAGGTGTTTCCTCTCCTAAAGATGAAATCAGATTCTTTTTCACTCTAAATTTCATACAAACTAGTTTGTTTTTTCACTACTAGATGTCAGCCATCTTTGTTCCAACCTTTTCACGCCATTTTATTTATTTTATCTGTTTTGATATAAAGAAACGGGCCAATGTGTAGATGCAGTGTGACGGACTCATAATGACATCACTTCCTGTAAGCTGAGGTCGTTCTCTGAGCTGAATGAATCCATGTGAAATATTCAGAGCATGTTGGTTTTATACAGCAGAAACGTTTCCTGTTGAATCCGTTTCTTGGTCGCTGCCACAGACAGCCGTCCATCCAGCTGCTGTGATGTCAGAGGCCAGCAGGTGTCAAAGCCACGGCGGTGAGGATGAGGAGGGTGGGGATGGATGTTGATGTTCAGGTTTGATGGAGGAAAGTGTGCTGTACAGAAACATTAAATACTTTTGAGGAAATAAAAGAACAAACATGAAGTTGTTTTATTTTGACTCATTCGTTGATCTAAAGGCCTTCAAAGAAAATGAGAGCAGAGAGTTGGTTAAACCGCTAACCAGCGGTTAGCTCCAGATCTAAAACCACACACTGTTGCTGCCGACCTTCGACCTTCTTAGCCGACCTTCACCCTGCTGGCCGACCTTCAACCTTCTTAGCCGACCTTCACCCTGCTGGCCGACCTTCACCCTGCTGACCGACCTTCGACCTGCTGGCCGACCTTCGACCTTCTTAGCCGACCTTCACCCTGCTGACCGACCTTCGACCTTCTTAGCCGACCTTCACCCTGCTGACCGACCTTCTTAGCCGACCTTCACCCTGCTGGCCGACCTTCGACCTTCTTAGCCGACCTTCAGCCCTGCTGGTCGACCTTCAACCTTCTTAGCCGACCTTCACCCTGCTGACCGACCTTCGACCTTCTTAGCCGACCTTCGACCTTCTTAGCCGACCTTCACCCTGCTGGTCGACCTTCAACCTTCTTAGCCGACCTTCACCCTGCTGACCGACCTTCTTAGCCGACCTTCACCCTGCTGGTCGACCTTCAACCTTCTTAGCCGACCTTCAACCCTGCTGGCCGACCTTCGACCTTCTTAGCCGACCTTCAGCCCTGCTGGTCGACCTTCGACCTTCTTAGCCGACCTTCAGCCCTGCTGGCCAACCTTCAACCTTCTTAGCCGACCTTCAGCCCTGCTGGTCGACCTTCTTAGCCGACCTTCAGCCCTGCTGGCCAACCTTCAACCTTCTTAGCCGACCTTCAGCCCTGCTGGTCGACCTTCTTAGCCGACCTTCAGCCCTGCTGGCCAACCTTCGACCTTCTTAGCCGACCTTCAGCCCTGCTGGTCGACCTTCTTAGCCGACCTTCAGCCCTGCTGGTCGACCTTCTTAGCCGACCTTCAGCCCTGCTGGTCGACCTTCTTAGCCGACCTTCAGCCCTGCTGGTCGACCTTCTTAGCCGACCTTCAGCCCTGCTGGCCAACCTTCGACCTTCTTAGCCGACCTTCACCCTGCTGGTCGACCTTCAACCTTCTTAGCCGACCTTCACCCTGCTGACCGACCTTCAACCTTCTTAGCCGACCTTCACCCTGCTGGCCAACCTTCAACCTTCTTAGCCGACCTTCACCCTGCTGACCGACCTTCAACTTTCTTAGCCGACCTTCACCCTGCTGGCCGACCTTCAACCTTCTTAGCCGACCTTCAGCCCTGCTGGTTGAACTTCAACCTTCTTAGCCGACCTTCACCCTGCTGGCCGACCTTCAACCTCCTTAGCCGACCTTTAACCCTGTGTGCTGACCTTTAACCCTGTTGGCCGATAGCTGTTAACTGATGTTAACCTGATGGTACCCCCATCCCCACTGACTGCCACTATGGGTCCCTGAGCCAGACCCTAAACCCCACCCTGTTCCCTGGGTGGCACAGCCCTCTGCTCCCCAAGGGGAGGGGTTACATGCTGGGAGGGAATTTCTCCAATAAAGTTTTATTATTATTATTAGTAATCTGCACAGAATAAAGTGAACTACATTAAATTCTCTTATTTCAGTAAAATATTGCATCATGATTTATTGACAGGATTTTCAACAGTCTAAGAAAAGGACTGAGACGCTCTTATTGTGAAAGTTTGCACCGGAAGTAAAGAAATCAAAATTTTCAGAATCTGAATAACTACAAGAAATTACAAGCAAATGTAAGAAGAATTATTAAAAATGCAAAAAGAGATTATTCAGTAGGGAGGGAGACAGATGTTTCTAAGGTGTGGGCAACAATTAAAAGGATGAATGGGATTAAAAGAACGAGTGGATCCAATATTAAATGAAGGAGAAAAAACTGCAGTTACTGACAGAGAAAAGGCAAAAATGTTGGTAAATACTTCTGTTAAAATTCATAGTTGTGAAAATATTAGTGAAGAAAAAAGGGAGAGAAAAGACTAATTTAAAGAACAAGGATTTATTACAGCAAATAGAAACAAATGAACCGTTGAACATGTTTACAATAACAACTGAATATAAATGATCAGCTCCAGGAAAAGATCCAATTTATTATGTTATGATTAGTAATTTAAGTGAATCTTCAAAAAATATTTTATTAGAAATATATAATAGGATATGGGAAGATGGGGAACTGCCAAAGAGTTGGAGGGAAGCTGTGATTGTTCCAATCAGAAAACCAGGGAAAGATGAATCAAAACCAGGAAATTATCGGCCAATAGCGTTAAAATCGGACTCATGTAGAATAATGGAGAGAAAGATAAATGAAAGATTAATATATTATGTTGAAAAGAAGGGACTCGTATCATCTTATCAGAGTGGTTTTAGAAGAGGGAGACGAACAATGGATCCGGTTTTATGTTTAGAGCAGGAAATTAGAAAGGAACAGGTGAATAAAGGAAGTGTTTTTTGACATTGAGAGAGCAGATGATATGATGTGGAGGGAAGGCTTATTAATTAAATTAGAAGAATGGGTATAAATGGTCAAATGTTTAGATGGATTAAAAATTTTCTAGAAGATCGACGAATACAAGTGAGGATAGGGGAGGATTATTCTGAGAGTTGTAAAATTGAAAATGGAACACCACAGGGAAGTATAGTAAGTCCGTTATTATTTTCAGTGATAGTTAATGATATGTTTAAAGAAATAGAGGGTGGAATGGGATTCTCATTATTTGCAGATGATGGAGAAATGTGGAAAAGAGGAAGAAATTTAGAATTTATCGTAAAGAAACTTCAGGAAGCAATTTCAGTTGTAGAAAAATTGTCATATAAACGGGGTTTTAAATTTTCAGTAGAGAAAACTAAAATAATGTTTTTTTTACAAGAAAAGAGTTGATAAAAAAAATTAACTTAAAATGTTATGGTCAGGATTTGGAAAGAGTTAAGCAATTTAAATTTCTCGGGATGTGGTTTGATGACAGAATGACATGGGGGGTGCACATTAAGAAAATAATCGATAAATGTAGGAAGGTAATAAATCTAATGAGGTGTTTAGCTGGAACAGAGCGGGGAGCTGATAGAAAATCATTAAAAGCCATTTATACTTCAACATCAGGCTTTAAGAATATCTACTGGAGCTTTTAGAACATCTTCACCAGCAGCTTTACAGGTTGAAATGGGAGAAATGCCTCTTAAAGTTAAATCAATTATCTTTAAGCTACTGGTCAGATTTACAGGCACAAAGGAAGGATCATCCAACATTAGAGCTGCTTAAACCTGGATGGGAAAGAAACAAAGAGCTTTAGATAAATAATAAACACTAAAGTTAATGAAATTAATTTAAATCAGTTAGATAGACAGTTCCATTAACAGCAATACCACCCTGGATACTTCCTGATGCTAAAGTTGATCTTTCATTATTAGAAAAGAAGGAAAAAGATAAATATCAAATTATGAATAAATATATAGTACAAGTACACTAAAACAAATATTATAATTATGTACAAATATATACAGATGCATCAAAAAATACAGCTAATAGGGAAGGGATTGCTTTTATTATACCACAGTTTGATATTAAGGTTGGGAAAAGGATTAGTGATGGAGTTTCAGTAGCGGTGAAATGCTAGCTTTGCTGTTAGCAGCTCAATGGGTGGAAGAGCTAAGACCATTAAAATCTATCATTTGCTCAGATTTTAGTTCATCATTAGTCAGTTTGCAAAATAATCAGTCAGACAGTCGACTAGATATATTAATGGAAATACGACAAACATTTTACAGAATAAATATGATGGGGATAGTAGTAAATGTTGTTTGGGTTCCGGCACATAAATGAAAAAAGGAAATGAAATGGCAGACAGGATGGCTAAGGAGAGTACCAATAAGGTAAGGGTAGATATTAATGTTAATTTTGGTATAACAGAAATAAAGGCTATAATTAAACAAACAGCAAAAGAGAGGTGGCAAAAGTTATGGAATGAAGAAAGAAAGGAAGGCGGCTTTATAAAATACAAAAAGAGAATTGGACCAATGAGAAGATCAGAAAGGAGATGATTATTTCTCGACTTAGAATGGGACACACTGGATTAAATAGATGGTTAATTTCATCAGGCAGGGAAATGAGACTGTGAGGAAGATGAGACTGTGAGGAAAATGAGACGGTGGAACGTGTCATTTTAAATTGTAGTAAATATTGGATACAGAGAAACAGGTTAATAAGGAAACTTAGTGACATGAAAATGAAACTTTGTCGATTTATTGCAGAAGGAATCAGGAAGCAGAGGATATCGGGTTATATTTGAATTTTTGAAACAGATTAGGTTTTATAATAGGATAGTTTTTTTTTTCTGCCATGTGGTTCACATTCCATACCAGTTGGTGGCGGTAATGCTCACCTAACGTTTTTTGCCAACCGCCAGTAAAACTGAAGAAGAAGAAGCGGCATCCGGCTGAACCATCGGAAGCAGCAGAACCATCAGAGGTTCTGGTCTCAGCAGATCTCTGAACCCAGACAGCAGCAGCTCCTCTGAACCCACGATGGACCAAGAAAACATTTTCCTCTTCGTTCCCAATTTGATCGGTGAGTTTCCTTCCTGTTAGCTTAGCATTAGCCATCATGGCGGCGCCTCCAGGCTGACAGACATTCATAGAAATAATGAACTATTTTAATTGGTTTGCAAAGTCGAGCTCGTTCATTTTCTGTATTTTAGATTCTATATTCTGTACATCTATTTTCTCTAACGTGAGATCAATAAAGTTCAATTATTCTTAATCTGCACCATCAACCGTCAGATTAACAACAAATCTGATCTTTAATAAAAGTCCCTGAAATGTGGCATTTAATGAATGAGGAGAATCTGCTGATATATCGGTTAGATGCTGGAGGGCCCCATGGCATGCTCCTTCCTACATCTGCGCTGCTAGTCAGCTAACATCAACAACCTAGAAAAGATCAAAGAAATGCGGCCGGTATTAACCAGGCACCGCAAAGGCGTCCTACGTCATGTTCACTTTCACTCTGTTCGAAAACCTAGGACGGGTCCTCCAAGGACGTGGTCTACCTAGACTGGATCCTTCGAAGTCCTTGAAAATAAGGAGACCGGAAGAGTTTTGGCTGTAAATTCGACCAGGTCTACCCTTTGGCGGGTTTTACCGCCGTATGCTCTGTTGCTTAGCAACCGTGAACGTTGACACACAAAGCAGGAAAAGAATGAATACAGAAGTTTTCAAAACTGTTTATTTATTTCTTTTTTATTATGAAGTGAACAAAGACTACACTCACAAGAATCCAGAGTGGAATAAATGTTCCAACCACCGGGAGCAGGAACAGATCAAATCAAATGTAATGATAGAAACCTTAGTCAGTTAAATAACCTGCTGCTGTCATTCTGCACATCTCTGATGTTGCTGCTATTTTCAAATATCCATTACTGTAAAAATGTCCATAGCTGCATATTGGTTATTTATTCCCCAGTTTTATATTGTTAAAACACTTTACAGTATTTTATTGTTTATATTTTAACTCTTCCCTATTATGTTATTCTTATACATTTTTCTAAGGTCCACATTTGTGTGACTATTTTCAGTAATCTTTCTGCTGCTGTAAATTTTCCCATTGTGGGAAAATAAAGGTATTTTCTATTCTATGAAAGGGGTAGAAAGATATAAGTAAATCTAAACAATATATTTATAAAAAATATATCTGCAAAATCTCTAATATTCAACAACAAAAAATACGTAGTTAAGCATATTGTGCAAAACAGCAATAAAAAGATAAAAATCCTATCAGATTTATAGTCCCCACCCTGCAAATATATTAGAATCTGTCCTTAAATTACAGCCAAACCCATTTACACAGTAACAGATTAAAACCTTTAGATAAACCAAACATTACCGCCACATATCTGACTCAATAACCATTAAAACAACTATTTTCATTCATCTCAGACGGAACTATTAAATGACTTGTATTATATTAAACTGAACTTCCAATTTTCACCACTGTTCGGCGCCAAGTCTCGCAATGAATCCTGGGATATCCAAGAATACCGAGGATACATTAGACCCGTCCTTCAAATCAGGCAAAAAGAAGGACGCATTTTAAGGCCGCATAACGAGGACTCTTGGAATCCGACCAGACCTCAGCGCCGTGCTATGACGTAATCGGCCTTCGAATCCGGTCTTCTAAGGATGCGTCCTAGGTTTTCGAACAGAGCCGAATACTTAGAAGACCGGATTCGAAGGCCGATTACGTCATAGCGCGGCGCTGAGGTCTGGTCGGATTCCAAGAGTCCTCGTTATGCGGCCTTAAAATGCGTCCTTCTTTTTGCCCGATTTGAAGGACGGGTCTGATGTATCCTCGGTATCCTTGGATATCCCAGGATTCATTGCGAGACTTGGCGCCGAACAGTGGTGAAAATTGGAAGTTCAGTTTAATATAATACAAGCCATTTAATAGTTCCGTAGCTAACCCTGAGGTCAGAGGGCCCCGGAGACCAGGGTTAGATTAATTAAAATAGTTGTTTTAATGGTTATAGAGTCAGATATGTGGCGGTAATGTTTGGTTTATCTAAAGGTTTTTAGCTGTTACTGTGTAAATGGGTTTGGCTGGAATTAAAGGACAGATTCTAATATATCTGCAGGGTGGGGACTATAAATCTGATAGTTTTATCTTTTTATTGCTGTTTTGCACAATATGCTTAACTAAGTATTTTTTGTTGTTGAATATTAGAGATTTTGCAGATATATTTTGAAAATTGGAAGTTCAGTTTAATATAATACAAGTCATTTAGTAGTTCCGTCTGAGATTAATGAAAAATAGTTGTTTTAATGGTTATAGAGTCAGATATGTGGCGGTAATGTTTGGTTTATCTAAAGGTTTTAATCTGTTACTGATTAAATGGGTTTGGCTGGAATTAAAGGACAGATTTTAATATATCTGCAGGGTGGGGACTATAAATCTGATAGTTTTATCTTTTTATTGCTGTTTTGCACAATATGCTTAACTACGTATTTTTTTTTGTTGTTGAATATTAGAGATTTTGCAGATATATTTTTTATAAATACATTGTTTAGATTTACTTATATCTTTCTACCCCTTTTATAGAATAGAATAGAAAATCCCTTTATTGTTCCACAATGGGCAAATTTAGTCTTTGTTCACTTCACAATAAAAAAGAAATAAATAAACAGTTTTGAAAACTTCTGTATTCATTCTTTTCCTGCTTTGTGTGTCAACGTTTACGGTTGCTAAGCAACAGAGCATACGGCGGTAAAACCCGCCGAAGGGTAGACCTGGTCGAATTCACAGCCTAAACTCTTCCGGTCTCCTTATTTTCAAGGACTTGGAAGGATCCAGTCTAGGTAGACCGCGTCCTTGGAGGATGCAGCCCAGGTTTTCGAACAGAGCCCTAATGTCGTCACGGCCGTAATAAACAGGAAGTAGAGGCCTTTTTTTAGCTTTATTGATATTCACACTAATTACAAGTTCAAAAAAGAATCTCCACTTTGCATTCTCACAACAAAAACAAATAAAATAATAATTATTTACAGGAAATCAATTAACTTAAACAAGACAAAGGAAAAAAAGTCTAATTTACAGATTTTTAAATCAGTGGAAGCAAAATCCAAAAAAACAAGACATTAATTTAAGAATTTAAATGAACAGAGAGATGCTGCCTTCAGCAATGACACTAGTGTTTCACCATTTGGTGAAAATATGCGATGATGATATTATTAATGATGGCGTCATCAGGACTCAGAGAAACTCCTCTTTTCTTCCAGCTGCGGGAAAATCCTGCATGTTTCTATAACCTGCTGGTTTCCTGATTTTTCCTGATTTTTGTCTAAATTAGAATCGTTTGATTTTCAAAGGATGATTTTAGTCCATAAAATGCTGAAGGTTTAAAGATTAAAGCCGGTTAACAAGTTAAAACATAAATAAAGGAGGCTGGAAAATAAAAATTAGATGGATAAACAGGAATATTAGCGTCTCTTTAAGCTCCACTGCCTTCATGACGACGCTGGCGTTGTCTGTAGCTATGGTAACCTGACCCCCCCCCCCCCAGCCAAAGCCTCCATATTGTCTTTCCCACTGAGAAGAGCTGGTTAAAACGTGGCCGACCCATGGCCCCCTTCCATTGGCGGATAAATCTGACCCGCTGTGACATCATCGCCGGCCGTGCGGTAAAGTCTGAGTGTTTCCAGGTTATCTGACCCGCTGTGACATCATCGCCGGCCGTGCGGTAAAGTCTGAGTGTTTCCAGGTTACAGCCGCGTCCTGCTGGCGCTGCTCTCCTTCTACCTGATGCCCTGCTGCCCCTGGCCCGCCGTCTGCTGCTACCTGCTCAGCGCCCTGCTGGACGCCTTCGACGGCCACGCCGCACGCCTGCTCAACCAGTGTAGGTGTCCAGAACCGCTCCGCCTCCAGAACCGGGCCTCGGCCTGTCTGAGGAGCAGGGAAGGGTTTGGTTCTGCAGGTTGTTGTTGACCCGGTTCTACCGGGGAATGGTCCAGACTGACCCGGTTGTCGTCCCTCAGCCAGCAGGTTCGGCGCCATGCTGGACATGCTGACGGACCGCTGCGCCACCATGTGTCTGCTGGTCAACCTGGCTCTGCTCTACCCGTCCTACGCCTTCCTGTTCCAGCTCAGCATGGTTCTGGACGTGTCCAGCCACTGGCTGCACCTGCACAGGTGAGCTGCAGCAAGCAGAACCGGTTCTGGTTCTGGATGTGTTGACGCTGTGGTTGTTGTTCAGCTCCACCATGAAGGGATCTGGGAGCCATAAGAGCATCGACCTGTCGGGGAACCCGGTTCTACGCCTCTACTACACCTCCAAGGTGAGAACAGAACCGGCCCGGCGGCGCGGCTCCGGGTCCCAGCAGAACTTTTAACCGCTGTGTTTGTTTCAGCCGGTTCTGTTCGTCATGTGCGCCGGGAACGAGCTGTTCTACTGCCTGCTCTACGTCCTGCACCACATGGAGAACCCTGCAGGTGAGAGAACCCAGCAGAACCAGCCGCTGAACTCTGACCTTATTTGGTCTTCCTGTTGGACCCGGTTCCGGCTGGGACCAGAACCACGGGGGTTCTGGGCGTGGCGCTGACCCGTCTCCTGTGTCTCTGACAGGCTGGCTGGTTCTGCTGCAGGTCGTCTGCGGACTCGTCTGTCTGTTGAAGTCGGCCATCAGCGTGGTGCACCTGGTCACCGCCGCCCAGAACATGGCCGCCATGGACGCCGCCGAGCGCCAGATGGCGGCCAAGAAGCACTGAGGGAGGGGGGTGTGGGGGGGGCTGGGTTTCCTGTTCTGCTCTGTGATGTTTATGTTCCATCCTGTTAAAGCAGGATGATCATTGGATCAGAACCAGAAGGTCCAATCAGACTCTGATCAGAACAGTTCCAGGAGGAAGACCATCTGGACCCGTTTTCCACCCAGAACCTCTCCGGCCAGCAGGGGGCGCCGACTCCTGGACCCGCTCTGATTTCTAGAGGTCGTTCATTGATGCTGAAGAACATCTGGTTCTGAATCATTTCCTCGGTTCTGAAGTTCTGTCTGCTTCATGCTGTCGAGTTCCTGTCATGTTCCACCATGTTGGCTCGTTGTTCCAGAACCCGGATCAGAACCCAGACCCGTATGCTGGGACCCGAAAGAAACAACCAGAAATGAAACGAGGGGAAAGAGGGACCCCTCTGGTTTCCTGGAGCCTTTCAGGGTTAGCTAACCCTGGTCTCTGGGGCCCTCTGACCTCAGGGTTAGCTAGCCCTGGTCTCTGGGGCCCTCTGACCCCAGGGTTAGCTAGCCCTGGTCTCTGGGGCCCTCTGACCCCAGTGTTAGCTAGCCCTGGTCTCTGGGGCCCTCTGACCCCAGTGTTAGCTAGCCCTGGTCTCTGGGGCCCTCTGACCTCAGTGTTAGCTAGCCCTGGTCTCTGGGGCCCTCTGACCCCAGTGTTAGCTAGCCCTGGTCTCTGGGGCCCTCTGACCCCAGTGTTAGCTAGCCCTGGTCTCTGGGGCCCTCTGACCCCAGTGTTAGCTAGCCCTGGTCTCTGAGGCCCTCTGAGCCCAGTGTTAGCTAGCCCTGGTCTCTGAGGCCCTCTGACCCCAGTGTTAGCTAGCCCTGGTCTCTGAGGCCCTCTGACCCCAGTGTTAGCTAGCCCTGGTCTCTGAGGCCCTCTGACCCCAGTGTTAGCTAGCCCTGGTCTCTGAGGCCCTCTGACCCCAGTGTTAGCTAACCCTGGTCTCTGAGGCCCTCTGACCCCAGTGTTAGCTAGCCCTGGTCTCTGAGGCCCTCTGACCCCAGTGTTAGCTAGCCCTGATTTATCGGACGGCTCCATTTGGGGCCCAAAGGGAAGTTGGGTTTCTGCAGAACAAATGAAGGCACTTTGTTGTTAAATTATGGGAACATTTTTATCAGACTTTAGGTTTTTGATGAGAGAAATGTTGGAATGTTGTTTTTTTTTTGTTTGCTGTAAAATGAAATAAATGTTTTTCTTCGCTGATTTAAACTGGTTCTGCTTCATTAGAACCGACAATAGAAAGTCTTTCACTGTGAAATGTCTTTATTCAGTGATGATGTCATTCACTGGATAATATAAATATTTGACCATATACATGTTCGTGTGTGCGTGTGTGTGTGAGATTAACAGACATGTAATTCAGTCTTAAAGTAAAACCTTGTATTCCGTATCAGATGGAATCAACAGTTTCATCAATTCATGTTTATTACATTAACATCAATTTATCACTGTAGGCTCATCTGTATTATTCTGCTCCATTAACATTAATTTTATTGTGATGGATTTATATAAAATGTTATATTAAATGATTTATAGACTTCATAATGACTCTGTAATGTGATGGATCTATTTATTTATTCTAAGTTAATCTACTGATGCTCTGAAACAGCCAGTCTGAGTCAAACTGATGAATTTATCTTTATTTTAAAAGTCTTAAACTAATAATGAGAACTTCATCATTGTTTGATCCTGTAGCGCACAGATTGAGACCGGTCTAACTAGGGAGTACCAATATGGCGGCCGGCTTTACTCCGCCCTGGCAGTGAGTAGGATCAGTGGTGCAGCTTCCTGTAGCAGAAGTTCTCCACTAGAGGGAGACAATCAGAACCAGATCTTGCTTTTCATGCATCATTCATGGGATCTAATCTGTCTTTAAATCGGATAACCTTCCTGAGGAGCTTCAGCAGCAGTACGCTCGTCTCAGATACCAGATTTATAGTCCCCGCCCTGCAGAGATAGTCTGAGCTTAAATTACAGCCTAACCCATTTGCACAGTTAGATAAAAACCCATGCAGTTGGTCTCGCAATGAATCCTGGGATATTGGAGGCTGCGGAGGATACCGCGGCGTCATCGGCCACATGACAAGGAGTCTTCCAATCCGAACGGACCTCAGTGCCGCGCTATGATGTCATCGTCCTACGGCTGTTCAGAGGACGCAGCTGCTGGGTCCCAAACTCCGCCTTTCTTGGTTCTGGTCCAACATCTGTCGATTTAATTCAATCATTGAACTTTATTGATCTCAGATTGATTAACATGATGCAACATTTTACTGAAATAACAAAGTCGGTTTAATTAACTTTATTCTGTGCAGATTAATAATTCTAATAATAATTGAACTTCCATCTAGCCCCTCCCCTCGGGGAGCAGAGGGCTGCCATGGTGGGGTTAGGGTCTGGCTCAGGGACCCAGAGTGGCAGTCTGTGGGAGTGGGGCTGGAACTCAGGAGCTCTGGATTCATAGCTCTATGCTCTAACCACTAGGCAGTTTCTATAGGTACGGTTCTATACGTTCTAGATCTGTTGAGGAGCGGCTTTCAGATCAGATACGATGAAGAAGATCAAACTGGGAGGATCTCCAGTCTGAGCTGTACTGGTTCCAGGCTCTGACCCAGAACCTTCTACTGGGCCTACTGGGAGGTTCTGGGTTCATCATCACACACCTGATCTACACACTCTATATCTGGGTGAAAGGAAATAAAAATAGATCTGTCAATTAAATTAATCCCCATGGTAACAAGTCACTTATCAGTTCCTTCCTTCCTTCCTTCCTTCCTTCCTTCCTTCCTTCCTTCCTTCCTTCCTTCCTTCCTTCCTTCCTTCCTTCCTCCTTCCTTCCTTCCTTCCTTCCTCCCACCTTCCTTCCTTCCTCCCCCCTCCTTCGTCCCATCTTCCTTCCTTCCTTCCTCCCACCTTCCTTCCTTCCCTCTTCCACCCTCCCTCCCGCTTCCTTCCGCCCATCTTCATTCCTTCCTTCCTTCCTTCCATACTCCTTCCTTCCTTCCTCCCATCTTCCTTCCTCCCCCCTCCTTCCTCCCATTTTCCTTCCTTCCCTCTTCCTTCCTTCCTTCCTCCCATCTTCCTTCCTTCCTCCCTGCCTCCTTCCTTCCTACCTTCCTTCCCTCTTCCACCCTCCCTTCCCCTTCCTTCCGCCCATCTTCCTTCCTCCCATACTCCTTCCTTCCTCCCATCTTACTTCCTTCCTTCCTCCCATACTCCTCCCTTCCTTCCTCCCTCCCTTCCTTCCTTCCTTCCTCCCATCTTCCTTCCTTCCTCCCCCCTCCTTCCTGCCATCTTCCTTCCTTCCTTCCATCTTCCTTCCTCCCATCTTCCTTCCTTCCTTCCTCCCACCTTCCTTCCTTCCTCCCTGCCTCCTTCCTTCCTTCCTTCCCTCTTCCACCCTCCCTCCCCCTTCCTTCCGCCCATCTTCCTTCCTCCCATACTCCTTCCTTCCTTCCTCCCATACTCCTCCCTTTCTTCCTCCCATACTCCTTCCTTCCTTCCTCCCCCTCCTTCCTCCCACCTTCCTTCCTTCCTCCCTGCCTCCTTCCTTCCCTCTTCCACCCTCCTTCCCCCTTCCTTCCTACCTCCCATCTTCCTTCCTTCCTCCCACCTCCTTCCTTCCTTCCTTCCTCCCATACTCCTCCCTTCCTTCCTCCCATACTCCTTCCTTCCTTCCTCCCCCTCCTTCCTCCCACCTTCCTTCCTTCCTCCCTGCCTCCTTCCTTCCCTCTTCCACCCTCCTTCCCCCTTCCTTCCTCCCTCCCATCTTCCTTCCTTCCTTCCTCCCACCTTCCTTCCTTCCTTCCTCCTTCCTTCCTTCCTTCCTTCCTTCCTTCCTTGCAGATGAACCAGATCCTTAAATTCTGGTTTTTCTGAATGGAGTTCTGCGGCGCGCGGTCAGACGCAGACGTCACGCTCCATCCAGCTGTTGCACCTGCGCGAATCGTTACCTTTAAGATGCTGGAGGGATAAAGCCTCGAACCGGACTCCGCTTCATCCAGAGGTTCGGTCGGACCGGTTCGGACCGAACGGCCGCAGCTCGGTTCTGTTCCGGACTGAGGACGGAGCGCCGGCCCGCTGCAGCCTCTGAATGTCGGAGGAGACCCACGGCACGAGACGGGGCCCACGCAGAGGGAGCACGAGCCCAACCCTTTCCCTTTAAAGAGCCGACAGAGGGGGGGCGGGGGGTGAGATCAAAGAGGAGAGGGAGGAGGGGGGAGAAACCGGAGAGGGAGGGGCCGGCAGGGGGAGACCCGAGGAGGCGAGGAAGAGCAGGAAACACCGAGGCCTGGATCCTGCAGCGGAGGCCTTCTGGAGATCCGGACCGAACCAGACCGGAAGATCTGCGGATCAGAACCGGTTCGGCTGCTCCTCCGAACCCTGCTTACGTCACAGATTCCAGTCCGTAGCTGTTTGTGTTAAAAAGCACGATGGTCACTACTGGGCCATAAGGGACCACCGAACCGAACCGAACCGGGTCACCTCAGCTGAAGTTCATCAGTAGACCAGCCACCCCCCCCCCCCCCCCCAGCATGGACACCTCATGGAGCAACTTCCTCTTCCAGGAGGTAATCTGGGGGGGGGGTTATTGCTGTTAAACAGCTGCAGATTATTAATCCAGATGTTTTCACAGGCCACGCCCACTCAGGGCCAGCCAGAGGCGGCGCTGCAGGCCGAGCTGCTGCCAGAACTGACCGGATCCACCCAGAGTCCTCCAGCAGAGCACATGGGGACGCCCCCGTCCACCGTGGACACGGCCGCCCTGAGCGAGGAGCCGCTGCCAGGTGAGGTTCCTCTGTGAGCTTCTGGAGGCTCCTCCTTCTAGACTAACGCGACGTTGATGTTTCTGCCGTCAGTCAAGCCGCTCTCCAAACCCAACCGCCCCGCCCACATCTGCTCCACCTGCAACAAGGAGTTCAAGAACAGCTACAACCTGCGGCGGCATCAGTCCGTCCACACCGGCATCAAGATGAAGGACCGGGCGGCGCGGGAGAAGGAGGACGGGGTCAAGGTGGGGCGGCTGGAGAAGCAGACCATCCCCCTGTCTCTGCTGCAGCTCACGCTGCCCCCTCAGCCTCTGCCCGCCGCCCCGGACCCCCTGCCCCAGCCTCTGGCCAACCAGGACCCTGAACCCGTCTCTGTGTCCATCGCCCCGGCGACCGTTACCATGGCTGCCCCTCCTCAGCCCATCCAGGCTGCCATCGTGGTGATGGGCTCCATGGAGCAGGTGGGTTTGCAGTTCTTCAGGTTTGGACCCCGATTCTGAACCCAGACCCGGTTTCCTTTGGGCTCTTACTGGTTTTAGTTGAATGGAACCAGTAAGAAACCATGAAGGAACTTTCCTTTGCTCTGCTGCACAGAATCCCAATCCCAACCCCGCTCCCAGCGCCACCCATGTGAGGAAGAACCACGCCTGCGAGGCCTGCGGGAAGGCCTTCAGAGACGTCTACCACCTGAACCGCCACCGCCTGTCCCACTCCGACGAGAAGCCGTATTCCTGCCCCATCTGCCAGCAGCGATTCAAGAGGAAAGACCGGATGAGCTACCACGTCCGCTCGCACCAAGGCGGCGTGGAGAAGCCCTACATCTGTCCTCACTGCTCCAAGGCCTTCTCCAGGTAGGAGCTCAGCTGGACCGCGGTTCTCCTCTGGAGACCAGACCTTTAATCACCTTCTGCTCGGCAGGCCGGATCACCTTAACAGTCACGTCCGACAGGTGCACTCCACAGAGCGGCCCTTCAAATGCACGGTAAGCATCGGCTCCACTCTGCTTTCCTTAAAAATGCTCAAGTCCTGTTTCACTTCCCTTTCCTCTCAGTGCTGGGATGTTATAATAATAACTTGTGGAGCCTGTGGGAATCGAACCGGGAACCTGGAACCTTCTCAGATCCCAGAACAGACCCGCTGCTAGACTACGGCTAGCTGACAGACCCGCTGCTAGACTACGGCTAGCTAACTGACCCACTGCTAGACTACGGCTAGCTGACAGACCCGCTGCTAGACTACGGCTAGCTGACTGACCCGCTGCTAGACTACGGCTAGCTGACTGACCCGCTGCTAGACTACGGCTAGCTGACTGACCCACTGCTAGACTACTGCTAGCTGACTGACCCGCTGCTAGACTACGGCTAGCTGACAGACCCGCTGCTAGATTACGGCTAGCTGACAGACCCGCTGCTAGACTACGGCTAGCTGACAGACCCGCTGCTAGACTACGGCTAGCTGACAGACCCGCTGCTAGACTACGGCTAGCTAACTGACCCGCTGCTAGACAACAGCTAGCTGACTGACCCGCTGTTAGACTACTGCTAGCTGACTGACCCGCTGCTATACTACGGCTAGCTGACAGACCCGCTGCTAGACTACGGCTAGCTGACAGACCCGCTGCTAGACTACGGCTAGATGACAGACCCGCTGTTAGACTACTGCTAGCTGACAGACCCGCTGCTAGACTACGGCTAGCTGACAGACCCGCTGCTAGACTATGGCTAGCTGACTGACCCGCTGCTAGACTACGGCTAGCTAACTGACCCGCTGTTAGACTACAGCTAGCTGACAGACCCGCTGCTAGACTACAGCTAGCTGACTGACCCGCTGTTAGACTACTGCTAGCTGACTGACCCGCTGCTAGACTACTGCTAGCTGACTGACCCGCTGCTAGACTACTGCTAGCTGACTGACCCGCTGCTAGACTACGGCTAGCTGACAGACCCGCTGCTAGACTACGGCTAGCTGACTGACCCGCTGCTAGACTACGGCTAGCTGACAGAGATGGTAATCTGTAGTTTGTCTTGAACCTCTGGGCTGGTCTGGGTGGATTTTTCAGGAATGACAAAATAAAAGTTTTTTTTTTAATTTAAATTGAAAAATGTTGTTTCTTCATGTGTCTGTTAATGAGTCTGTTTTGCATCTGAAGCCCATCTTCTGATTTTCAGACGTGTACGTCTGCGTTTGCCACACGGGATCGCCTCCGTGCGCACCTGATCCGCCACGAGGAGAAGGTGCCGTGCCACATCTGTGGGAAGCTGCTGTCTGCTGCATACATCACCGACCACATGAGGGTCCACAACCAGTCGCAGCACCACTCCTGCCACCTGTGCAACCGCAGTAAGGCATCACGCCCACGCAGGGCCACCGCCGTGTTAGCGCTGCCTGTGCTTCTCAGCCAATCATGGCCGCCGTTTTTTAACACAGACGCGTTTATTTTCCCTGCAAGAAAATGTCCCCGCCGCTAAAAATAGACACGTTTGATGAGAAGCTTCCAGAAAGTTCCAGATCGAGGCCTCAGACTTCTCTGGACTTCTGGAGGCTCCAGGCTCTGATCTCTTCCCTGCCTGTGTTTCAGGTTTCACCACCCTCACCTACCTGCGCGTCCACGCCCAGAAGCACCACGGCCAGGAGTGGAAGGAGAGCGGTGGGGCCCGAGGGGCCTTCGGTGGGGCGGGGGCCGGGGGCGTGCTGCTCTGCCAGCTCTGCGGGGTCCAATGTAAGACGACTACGCAGCTCCAGGGTCACATGGGCACCCACACCCAGCAGGGGGACCCCGCCCCCAACCAGCCGAGCATGGAGCCCGTGGGCAGCGCCAGCGTTGGTCCAAACACGGTGGGACTGCTGGTCAGTGACTGCTCCGGCATCGGCCCCCCGCCGCACAGTTAGCACGCTCACAGGGAGGGGGCGGGGCTTGGAAGGAGGAAGAGCCAGCAGCAGCCAGGAAAGGTGGGTAAACCTGAGGAGGTAGGGAACATTAGAGAACCTGCAGAGGTAGGGAACATTAGAGAACCTGCAGAGGTAGGGAACCTGCAGAGGTAGGGAACATTAGAGAACCTGCAGAGGTAGGGAACCTGCAGAGGTAGGGAACATTAGAGAACCTGCAGAGGTAGGGAACATTAGAGAACCTGCAGAGGTAGGGAACATCAGGGAACCTGCAGAGGTAGGGAACCTGCAGAGGTAGGGAACATTAGAGAACCTGCAGAGGTAGGGAACCTGCAGAGGTAGGGAACATTAGAGAACCTGCAGAGGTAGGGAACATTAGGGAACCTGCAGAGGTAGGGAACCTGCAGAGGTAGGGAACATTAGGGAACCTGCAGAGGTAGGGAACCTGCAGAGGTAGGGAACATTAGGGAACCTGCAGAGGTAGGGAACCTGCAGAGGTAGGGAACATTAGAGAACCTGCAGAGGTAGGGAACATTAGAGAACCTGCAGAGGTAGGGAACATCAGGGAACCTGCAGAGGTAGGGAACATTAGGGAACCTGCAGAGGTAGGGAACCTGCAGAGGTAGGGAACATAAGGGAACCTGCAGAGGTAGGGAACATTAGAGAACTTGCAGAGGTAGGGAACCTGCAGAGGTAGGAAACTTTAGAGAACCTGCAGAGGTAGGGAACATTAGGGAACCTGCAGAAGTAGGGAACATTAGGGAACCTGCAGAGGTAGGAAACATTAGGGAACCTGCAGAGGTAGGGAACCATAGGGAACCTGCAGAGGTAGGGGACATTAGAGAACTTGCAGAGGTAGGGAACCTACAGAGGTAGGGAAAATTAGAGAACCTGCAGAGGTAGGGAACCTGCAGAGGTAGGAAACATTAGAGAACTTGCAGAGGTAGGGAACATTAGAGAACTTGCAGAGGTAGGGAACATTAGGGAACCTGCAGAGGTAGGGAACATCAGGGAACCTGCAGAGGAGGGGGACATTAGAGAACCTGCAGAGGTGGGAAACATTAGGGAACCTGCAGAGGTAGGGAACCATAGGGAACCTGCAGAGGTAGGGAACCTGTAGAGGTAGGGAAAATCAGGGAACCTGCAGAGGTAGGGAACCATAGGGAACCTGCAGAGGTAGGGAACATTAGAGAACCTGCAGAGGTGGGAAACATTAGGGAACATGCAGAGGTAGGGAACATCAGGGAACCTGCAGAGGTAGGGAGCCATAGGGAACCTGCAGAGGTAGGGAACATTAGAGAACCTGCAGAGGTGGGAAACATTAGGGAACCTGCAGAGGTAGGGAACCTGCAGAGGTAGGGAGCATTAGATAACTTGCAGAGGTAGGGAACCTGCAGAGGAGGGGAACATTAGGGAACATCAGGGACCTGGCAGAGGTAGGGAACATTAGAGAACCTGCAGAGGTAGGAAACATTAGGGAACCTGCAGAGGTAGAGAACCTGCAGAGGTAGGGAACATTAGAGAACCTGCAGAGGAGGGGAACCATAGGGAACCTGCAGAGGTAGGGAACATTAGAGAACCTGCAGAGGTGGGAAACATTAGGGAACCTGCAGAGGTAGGGAACATCAGGGAACCTGCAGAGGTAGGGAACCTGCAGAGGTAGGGAACATTAGAGAACTTGCAGAGGTAGGGAACCTGCAGAAGAGGGGAACATTAGGGAACATCAGGGACCCAGCAGAGGTAGGGAACATTAGAGAACCTGCAGAGGTAGGGAACATTAGGGAACCTGCAGAGGTAAGGAACATAAGAGAATCTGCAGAGGTAGGGAACATTAGAGAACTTGCAGAGGTAGGGAACCTGCAGAGGAGGGGAACATTAGGGAACATCAGGGACCCGGCAGAGGTAGGGAACATTAGAGAACCTGCAGAGATAAGGAACATTAGAGAACCTGCAGAGGTGGGAAAGATTAGGGAACCTGTAGAGGTAGGGAACCTGCAGAGGTAGGGAACATTAGATAACTTGCAGAGGTAGGGAACCTGCAGAGGAGGGGAACATTAGGGAACATCAGGGACCCGGCAGAGGTAGGGAACATTAGAGAACCTGCAGAGGTAGGAAACATTAGTGAACCTGCAGAGGTAGAGAACCTGCAGAGGTAGGGAACATTAGAGAACCTGCAGAGGAGGGGAACCATAGGGAACCTGCAGAGGTAGGGAACATTAGAGAACCTGCAGAGGTGGGAAACATTAGGGAACCTGCAGAGGTAGGGAACATCAGGGAACCTGCAGAGGTAGGGAACCTGCAGAGGTAGGGAACATTAGAGAACTTGCAGAGGTAGGGAACCTGCAGAGGAGGGGAACATTAGGGAACATCAGGGACCCGGCAGAGGTAGGGAACATTAGAGAACCTGCAGAGGTAGGGAACATTAGGGAACCTGCAGAGGTAAGGAACATAAGAGAACCTGCAGAGGTAGGGAACATTAGGGAACCTGCAGAGGTAGGGAACATCAGGGAACCTGCAGAGGTAGGGAACCTGCAGAGGTAGGGAACATTAGAGAACTTGCAGAGGTAGGGAACCTGCAGAGGAGGGGAACATTAGGGAACATCAGGGACCCGGCAGAGGTAGGGAACATTAGAGAACCTGCAGAGGTAGGGAACATCAGGGAACCTGCAGAGGTAGGGAACCTGCAGAGGTAGGGAACATTAGAGAACTTGCAGATGTAGGGAACCTGCAGAGGAGGGGAACATTAGGGAACATCAGGGACCCGGCAGAGGTAGGGAACATTAGAGAACCTGCAGAGGTAGGGAACATTAGGGAACCTGCAGAGGTAAGGAACATTAGAGAACCTGCAGAGGTAGGGAACATTAGGGAACCTGCAGAGGTAGGGAACCTGCAGAGGAGGGGAACATTAGGGAACATCAGGGACCCGGCAGAGGTAGGGAACATTAGAGAACCTGCAGAGGTAGGAAACATTAGGGAACCTGCAGAGGTAGGGAACCTGCAGAGGTAGGGAACATTAGAGAACCTGCAGAGGTAGGGAACATTAGAGAACCTGCAGAGGTAGGGAACATCAGGGAACCTGCAGAGGTAGGGAACCTGCAGAGGTAGGGAACATTAGAGAACTTGCAGAGGTAGGGAACCTGCAGAGGAGGGGAACATTAGGGAACATCAGGGACCCGGCAGAGGTAGGGAACATTAGAGAACCTGCAGAGGTAGGGAACATTAGGGAACCTGCAGAGGTAAGGAACATAAGAGAACCTGCAGAGGTAGGGAACATTAGGGAACCTGCAGAGGTAGGGAACATCAGGGAACCTGCAGAGGTAGGGAAGCTGCAGAGGTAGGGAACATTAGAGAACTTGCAGAGGTAGGGAACCTGCAGAGGAGGGGAACATTAGGGAACATCAGGGACCCGGCAGAGGTAGGGAACATTAGAGAACCTGCAGAGGTAGGGAACATCAGGGAACCTGCAGAGGTAGGGAACCTGCAGAGGTAGGGAACATTAGAGAACTTGCAGAGGTAGGGAACCTGCAGAGGAGGGGAACATTAGGGAACATCAGGGACCCGGCAGAGGTAGGGAACATTAGAGAACCTGCAGAGGTAGGGAACATTAGAGAACCTGCAGAGGTAGGGAACATTAGGGAACCTGCAGAGGTAGGGAACCTGCAGAGGAGGGGAACATTAGGGAACATCAGGGACCCGGCAGAGGTAGGGAACATTAGAGAACCTGCAGAGGTAGGAAACATTAGGGAACCTGCAGAGGTAGGGAACCTGCAGAGGTAGGGAACATTAGAGAACCTGCAGAGGTAGGGAACATTAGAGAACCTGCAGAGGAGGGGAACATTAGGGAACCTGCAGAGGTAGGGAACCATAGGGAACCTGCAGAGGTAGGGAACATTAGAGAACCTGCAGAGGTGGGAAACATTAGGGAACCTGCAGAGGTAGGGAACATCAGGGAACCTGCAGAGGTAGGGAACATTAGAGAACTTGACCTGCAGAGGAGGGGAACATTAGGGAACATCAGGGACCCGGCAGAGGTAGGGAACATTAGAGAACCTGCAGAGGTAGGGAACATTAGGGAACCTGCAGAGGTAAGGAACATTAGAGAACCTGCAGAGGTAGGGAACATTAGGGAACCTACAGAGGTAGGGAACCTGCAGAGGTAGGGAACATTAGAGAACCTGCAGAGGTAGGGAACATCAGGGAACCTGCAGAGGAGGCGGACATTAGAGAACCTGCAGAGGTAGGGAACATCAGGGAACCTGCAGAGGTAGGGAACCTGCAGAGGTAGGGAACATTAGAGAACTTGCAGAGGTAGGGAACCTGCAGAGGAGGGGAACATTAGGGAACATCAGGGACCCGGCAGAGGTAGGGAACATTAGAGAACCTGCAGAGGTAGGGAACATTAGGGAACCTGCAGAGGTAAGGAACATTAGAGAACCTGCAGAGGTAGGGAACATTAGTTAACCTGCAGAGGTAGGGAACCTGCAGAGGTAGGGAACATTAGAGAACCTGCAGAGGTAGGGAACATCAGGGAACCTGTAGAGGTAGGGAACCATAGGGAACCTGCAGAGGTAGGGAACATCAGAGAACCTGCAGAGGTAGGGAACATTAGAGAACCTGCAGAGGTGGGAAACATTAGGGAACCTGCAGAGGTAGGGAACATCAGGGAACCTGCAGAGGTAGGGAACCATAGGAAACCTGCAGAGGTAGGGAACATTAGAGAACCTGCAGAGGTAGGGAACATCAGGGAACCTGCAGAGGTAGGGAACCATAGGAAACCTGCAGAGGTAGGGAACATTAGAGAACCTGCAGAGGTAGGGAACCATAGGGAATCTGCAGAGGTAGGGAACATTAGAGAACTTGCAGAGGTAGGGAACCTGCAGAGGTAGGGAACCTGCAGAGGAGGGGAACATTAGGGAACATCAGGGACCCGGCAGAGGTAGGGAACATTAGAGAACCTGCAGAGGTGCAGGGAACCTCAGAGAAGGTCCAGGCTCACCTACTTCGCTCTGAGCTGATCCAGTAGAACCATGAAGGTCCCTGATGGGTTCCTGCTTTTCTTTCAGGTTCTTCCCAACTATGAACTTGGAGCAGAAGAACGTTTATCTTTTCGTCATGAAGAACCTGATCAACCTGTTAGATTCTGACCGGACCGAACCAGGACTGGTGGCTGATGGCACAAAAAACCTGTTTGTTCCAAAGGTTCTGCTCCCCTGGTTCCCGTTTAGCTCCCATAATGTCACCAGTTTAGCTTCAGCCAGAGCAGATTGGACCTGCTGGTTCTGTTTCTGACCCAGCCATCCTCCATGTTTCAGCGTTGGTTTCTGAAGAACTGATTTATACTGTTTTGGGTTTAAAGTGAAGTAGGTCGCTGCGGATGGTTATGTGGGTCACAGCCTGGGATGGGCTAACTAGTCTTAGAGCTGGTACCCTACTGGACCTGGTACCATTCTAAAGCTGGTAGCGTCCTGGATCTGGTACCATTCTAGAGCTGGTACCGTCCTGGATCCGGTACCGTTCTAGATCTGATAGCGTCCTGGATCCAGTACTGTTCTAGATCTGGCACCGTCCTGGATCCGGTACCGTTCTAGAGCTGGTACCGTCCTGGATCTGGTACTGTTCTAGATCTGGTACCGTCCTGGATCCCTTACTGTTCTAGATCTGGTACCGTCCTGGATCCGGTACTGTTCTAGAGCTGGTACCGTCCTGGATCCGGTACCGTTCTAGACCGTCCTGGATCCGGTACCGTTCTAGAGCTGGTACTGTCCTGGATCCGGTACCGTCCTGGATCTGGTACCGTTCTAGATCTGGTACCGTCCTGGATCCGGTACCGTTCTAGATCTGGTACCGTCCTGGAGCTGGTACCGTCCTGGATCTGGTACCGTTCTAGAGCTGGTACCATCCTGGATCCGATACCGTCCTGGATCTGGTACTGTTCTAAATCTGGTACCGTCCTGGATCCGGTACCGTCCTGGATCTGGTACCGTTCTAGATCTGGTACCGTCCTGGATCCGATACCGTCCTGGATCTGGTACCGTTCTAGAACAGGTACCGTCCTGGATCCGATACCGTCCTGGATCTGGTACCGTTCTAGATCTGTTACCGTCCTGGATCTGGTACCGTTCTAGATCTGGTACCGTCCTGGATCCGGTACCGTCCTGGATCCGGTACCATTCTGGAGCTGGTACCGTCCTGGATCTGGTACCGTTCTAGAGCTGGTACCGTCCTGGATCAGATACCGTCCTGGATCTGGTACTGTTCTAGAGCTGGTACCGTCCTGGATTTGGTACCGTTCTAGATCTGGTACCGTCCACTCCCAGCCTGCCTTCATTGGACCATCCTGATGGACCGGGTTGGGCCTCCATGTGCAGAACCTTTTTCTCTGGTTTATTGTAAAGACTGATTGTATTTGGTTCTGGTACATCAGGTGTTTGTTCTCCTCTGTGCTCCGTTCTCATCCTAGATCATCATTAAACAGACTGAAAGGCAAACCTCTGGTTCTGTTCAGTTCCATCTGTCCATCCAGAGTCTCCTCCAGAGGGTATCGGGTTCTTCAAAATGTTCCCAGAAAGGAAGGGATGTCCTGCTCCTCCAGAGAGTCCTGGTTCTGTTCTGAGGCCAGTGGGGTGGTTCTGTAGAGCCTCTCAAAGCCGGTTCTGGTTTAGCTGTGATCCAAACCTCAGAACCAGAGGTGAGGTATGGGTCAGCTGGTTCTTCTCTAGAAACTTCTGCTTTGATTCCACTGGTCCATCTCACCATGAAACCGGATCATCCAGAAGCTGAACCAGGAATGAACCTAGAGAAGTCCACCGCCTCCCCGATTCTGCAGGTTCCCATTATGGGTTCCTGTCTCTGGGTTCCTCTGGGCCCGGTTTAGGTTCTGATCCATGTCTCACATTTGGTCTGTTTGGACAGAACCGGGAAACCAGAACCTTTAGTACCGACCGACCAAGCCCCGCCTCCTAGCATTTTTGAGTCATTCTTAAAAGGACTGGAGGTGGACCAGAAAAAAACAGTTAGAACTGATTCTACTGGAGCAGGAGGAGAGGAAGAGGATGAATGAGGAAGAGGAGTTAATGAGGAAGAGGAGTTAATGAGAAAGTGGATGAATGAGGAAGAGGAGTTAAAGAGGAAGAGGAGTTAATGAGGAAGTGGAGTTAACGAGGAAGAGGTTGAATGAGGAAGAGGAGTTAATGAGGAAGAGAAGTTAACGAGGAAGAGGAGTTAACGAGGAAGAGGATGAATGAGGAAGAGTTAACGAGGAAGAGGATGAATGAGGAAGAGTTATTGAGGAAGATGATGAATGAGGAAGAGGAGTTAATGAGGAAGAGGATGAGGAGTTAATGAGGAAGATGATGATTGAAGAAGAGGAGTTCATGAGGAAGAGGATGTATGAGGAAGAGTTATTGAGTAAGATGATAAATGAGGAAGAGGAGTTAATGAGGAAGAGGATGAGGAGTTAATGAGGAAGAGGATGAATGAGGAAGAGGTGTCAATGAGGAAGAGGAGTTAATGGGGATGAGGATGAATGAGGAAGAGGAGTTAATGAGGAAGAGTATGAATGAGGAAGAGTTATTGAGGAAGATGATGGATGAGGAGGGGGAGTTAATGAGGAAGAGGATGAATGAGGAAGAGGAGTTAATGGGGAGGAGGGTGAATGAGGAAGGTGTGAATGAGGAAGAGGAGTTAATGGGGAGGAGGATGAATGAGGAAGAGGAGTTAATGGGGAGCAGGATGAATGAGGAAGAGGAGTTAATGAGGAGGAGGATGAATGAGGAAGAGGAGTTAATGAGGAGGAGGATGAATGAGGAAGAGGAGGTAATGAGGAGGAGGATGAATGAGGAAGAGGTGTGAATGAGGAGGATGAATGAGGAAGATGAGTTAATGAGGAGGAGGATGAATGAGGAGTGTATGAATGAGGAAGAGGAGTTAATGAGGAAGAGTATGAATGAGGAAGAGTTATTGAGGAAGATGATGTATGAGGAGGAGGAGTTAATGAGGAAGAGGTGTGAATGAGGAAGAGGAGTTAATGGGGAGGAGGATGAATGAGGAAGAGGAGTTAATGGGGAGGAGGATGAATGAGGAAGAGGATGAATGGGGAAGATTTTTTTTAAGTAAAATGTTCTGTTCTGCTGAGTGAAATGTTGCCATGTTAACGGAAGAAGGGACCCGGGAGAAGAACCGACGTCCTGTGGGCAGAACCAGAACCCGGTCCATACCCCCCCCCCCCTTGTTTACAGCGCGGCTAAGCGCCGCCCCTCCCCCACCGGCTCCTCCTCCTAGCGGCTAACCAGCTAGCAGCGGCTGAAGCTGCAGCTGAAGTGGGACAAACATCAGATTTGGGCCGGTCTGAAGGGAAGCCCGAACCCTGAGCTCCCGCTGGATGACTTCCTCCTCCAGGCTGCAGGCTGAGCCTCCTCCGCCATGGCGGACAGTTAGCAGTTAGCAGCAGTTAGCAGCGGTTAGCTCCCGGAGCAGCGGAGCCTCTACGCCGCTCTGCAGCCCCCAGAGGTCGGATTATCTGCTATGTCATCAGCCGTTCACAGCAGTCAGGTCGGTTCTTGTTCTGGTTCTGGTTTGGTTCTGGTTCTTTTGGGTTTAATGTGAAGTAGGTCGCCGCGGATGGTTATGTGGGTCACAGCCTGGGATGGGTTAACTAGTCCCCTGAACAGCTGGTTAGCCGCGGAGCTAACGAGCATCTAAAGGAACCTTCCAGATTATAATCTGCTTCCTGGCTGCTAGAACCTGGAGACTAGGATTAAACCCGCTTCTCTCTGTCCGCGTTAGCCGGTCGGAGCAGCAGCCTGGAGCGGACAAAGGTTCCTGGAGCCTTCGGGTTATGGTTCGGACCGGGAGCGCAGAACCGAGCCGGATTCCGGTCCGGTTTGGTTGGACCTCCGTGGTTCCGGAGGACCTTCTGATCCGGTCCAATCAGCAGATCTTTAGACCCAGACTGGGTCCGGATCCACGTCTGGAGACCTGAGACCCATCAGACCCGGAGGGTCCAGGTCCGATCCTCCAGAACCACCAGGGTCCAGGTGAGGGTCTCTGAGGAGCAGGATGATCTGGACCTCTGATCGGTTCGGTTCTACAGGACTGGCTGGTCCAGCAGCAGGAGGAGAACCTGCTGCTGGACCAGCCAGTCCTCTAACGTCATCAGACGGAGCCAGAAGATCATGAAGGTTCAAAAGTCCAGAGTTCTGGTTCTGGAAGAGTTTTTCCTGCTGTTTAGAGAACTTGTGAAAGATGGCGCCTAAAATGGCCGCCGGTCCACATCGATTCTGGTCAGCGGGTCAGAGACCACCTGAGACCAGCAGGCCCGGAAATGCTCCCATAACCAAGCTGGTCCGGTCCTGGATCCGGTACCCTCCTGGTTCCAGTATCGTCCTGGATCCGGTATCGTCCTGGATCCGGTATCGTCCTGGATCCGGTATCGTCCTGGATCTGGTATCGTCGATCCGGTACCTCCCTGGTTCCGGTACCGTCCTGGTTCCGGTACCGTCCTGGTTCTGGTAGTCCGTCTGAAGGTCTGTGTGGTTTCCATCTGCCTGCAGGGAGCCATCGGGTCATGCTGAGCGAGCGGCGCCGGTTCCTCCTGTGGTTCTGATCCGGTCCAGCATCAGCAGCTCGGTTCCGTTCCCGCTCCCTGGACTGTTCGTCGTTTCGATGGCGTTCCACGGCGCCGGCCGGCAGACCGTCTGCGGGGATCTGTTTCCGGGCTCCGATCTGGGCCACAAGTTCTTCTGCGGCGCCCCCTCCACGGGCCTCGGCGCCACGCCCTGCCTGACCGGACCCAGCGCCCCGGCCGGGACCCCCCGTCACCCCACGGCCCTGGGGGGCGGCGGCGGCGGCGGCGCAGCGGTTCCTCAGCCCTACAGCAACCCGGCTAGCGAGGTGCCGAGCCCGGCGGAGATGGAACCGGACCGCCCCATCGGATACGGAGCCTTTGGAGTGGTCTGGTAAGGTTTAGAACGCTAGGAGGCTGTTAAGGTTCTGGTCCGGTTCTGATCCTCTGGTCCTCCTCAGGTCGGTAACTGACCCGCGTGACGGCCGCAAGGTGGCGCTGAAGAAGATGCCCAATGTCTTCCAGAACCTGGTCTCCTGTAAGCGGGTCTTCAGGGAGCTGAGGATGCTCTGCTTCTTCAAGCACGACAATGTAAGGCCCGGTTCTGGTTCAGGTTCCGGCTGGAACCCATCATAATGCTCCGCCTTCTCTCTGCAGGTCCTGTCGGCTCTGGACATCCTCCAGCCTCCGCAGATCGACTGCTTCGAGGAGATGTATCCTTTGGGTTCTGACCCGTTCCATCCTGGTAGAACCGACCCGGTTCTGATTGGGTTCTTTAACAGCTGACCCGCAGATACGTGATCACGGAGCTGATGCAGAGCGACCTCCACAAGGTCATCGTGTCTCCTCAGCCGCTCACCACAGACCACATCAAGGTCTTCCTCTACCAGATCCTCCGAGGTCAGAGTCCGGTTCTGATCCAAACATTCAGGGTCCTGTTCTGATCCAGACCCCCGGGGTTCTGTTCTGGTCCAGAGCCTCAGGGTTCTGTTGATTCGGACCCCCAGGGTTCTGTTCTGGTCCAGACCCTCAGGGTTCTGTTCTGGTCCAGAGCCTCAGGGTTCTGTTGATTCGGACCCCCGGGGTTCTGTTCTGGTCCAGACCCCTGGGGTTCTGTTCTGGTCCAGACCCTCAGGGTTCTGTTGATTCGGACCCCCAGGGTTCTGTTCTGGTCCAGACTTTCTGGGTTCTGTTCTGCCTCAGGGTTCTGTTCTGGTCCAGACCCTCAGCGTTCTGTTCTGCCTCAGGGTTCTGTTCTGGTCCAGACCCTCGGTGTTTTGTTAATTTGGACCCCCAGGGTTCTGTTCTGGTCCAGACCCTCAGGGCTCTGTTCTGCCTCAGGGTTCTGTTCTGGTCCAGACCCTCGGGGTTCTGTTCTGGTCCAGACCCTCAGGGTTCTGTTCTGCCTCAGGGTTCTGTTGTGGTCCAGACCCTCAGGGTTCTGTTCTGGTCCAGACCCTTGGGGTTCTGTTGATTCGGACACCCAGGGTTCTGTTCTGGTGCAGAGCCTCAGGGTTCTGTTGATTCGGACCCCCGGGGTTCTGTTCTGGTCCAGACCCCTGGGGTTCTGTTCTGGTCCAGACCCTCAGGGTTCTGTTGATTCGGACCCCCAGGGTTCTGTTCTGGTCCAGACCTTTGGGGTTCTGTTCTGCCTCAGGGTTCTGTTCTGGTCCAGACCCTCAGGGTTCTGTTCTGGTCCAGACCCTCTGTGTTTTGTTGATTTGGACCCCCAGGGTTCTGTTCTGGTCCAGACCCTCAGGGTTCTGTTCTGCCTCAGGGTTCTGTTCTGATCCAGACCCTCAGGGTTCTGTTCTGGTCCAGGCCCTCGGGGTTCTGTTCTGGTCCAGACCCTCGGGGTTCTGTTCTGGTCCAGACCCTTGGGGTTCTGTTCTGGTCCTCAGGGTTCTGTCCTGGTCCAGACCCTCG